TAGAGTACTGAGTTTATAAATGGATCTGGAGAGGATTCAGTGATTCATGACTAGCAAGTATGAATTCTACACTGAACAAATTATCTGAAACTTAAATAAAGTGTTAACTATATGACCGTATAAACCCAACAAAATTACAATAGACAATTCTTTCTGTAGAAGGAAATCCTCTCTCACCAAATTGGTAATGTTCTCTGAAAAAGCCAATCTGTATGTAGAAAGTCTTTAAAAGATCTTAAAGGAACTGCATCTCTTTGGGATAGAAGGGAATTAGCCTTGTGAGTGAACAGTCATCATGCGAAAGAGAAGTGACAAAGTGTGCAATCAATACATACTATTCAGAGTACGAAATCTGAAACTAACTTCAAAATGTTGCAGAAAAACAACACAGTACTGAACGCTTGGGGCTGTAAAGCTTTTGAAAAAGCCTCCACAGTAATCTAAGGGACCAAGTGACTAGGAAATAGAATTACCGTTAAATTCAATATAAATAAAGTGATGCATGTGTTGAAAACCAGTTGTAGCTTCACATATGAATAACGGACCTGAGCTAACCAGTGTCACTCAAGAATGAAGACTTTGCATTATGATAAAATAGGATTATGGTCCCATAATCCTATGATTATGAATCAGTCTAACATTCAGTAGCACTCAGTCCACCCACCAACCAAGTAAATAATAGGAATTACTTGGAAAGAAATATAGAAATAAAGAGAATATCATTGAACTGTTCTATAAAAACACAGTTCTCTCCCTCCTCGAACACTGTTGCAGTTCTGGCCCCTTTCCTTAAAAAGAAGCCGAGAACACCGGACATGGTTCTGAGAGGGGTAAGAAGGATCCAAGCTACAGAATGGTTTCCATCATTACGTACAGAAATCTTTAACAAATTCATTAACAATTCTTCAGCTTGGAAAAGACAATTTGGCAGAATATGAGAGAGGTTTACAAAACCATAACTTGCATGAAGAACACAGATAGTGACTGACTATTCATAATGTTCTGATACAAAGGAAGCCAAACAAAGGTAGTAGGAGGCAGGTTTAGAAAAACCCTAAAGTTAATGGCTCCTCCTGCAACCAGTCAGAGATTTGAGGGACTCCATGGCAGACAATGTTGTGGGTGCAAGAAAGTTTGCAAAGGTTCATGATCAGACAAGTGCTTTGAAGACAGCCCTTACTGAGATCTCAAAAGTTTGTGAACAGTTAGTTTATCAATAGACAAACAGATTCAGAAAATTCCCTGAGCTGAAAAAAGCTGGAAAGAGAGAAAATATGCAAAAGAAGCATTATGTGACCTTGCCATGCTTTTGCTCTTCCCTGAATGTCTGTTTATGGTCTCTTTGCTAGGCACCTATCACAAATATCTGCATAAAATACGCACCAGGGTGCACACATACCTATACAAAATTTCTTTGCACATATATAATCTTTGCACAAAGAGTGAATAAAACATCTCAGTAAAGACTTGAGTTCTTCAAGATCTGCCAGACATCCTGCTTATTCAGTTCCCTATCCAGGAAGTTTTCTCTCTCTTTTTTTTTTTTTTTTTACATTGAGGTTTTTGACATTCACTCTCATGTAATGCGCACTAACACCTAACCAGGCATCTTCTGTCCTTTGAATGGAAATTACCAGAACTAACAATGAGACATCCTTGTGCACTGTAAGTGCTGAAGCTGAAAATTGAAGGGAAGAAGAACAGGAAAATAGGAAGCAAGCCCACAGGAAAAAAAAAACAAACCTGTGTTGATTTTGTGATAATCAAATACTAGTAGATCATTGTGTTAATCGGTATTGTAAGATGTCACTAATTCATTTTGCAGCTGCAGAGATCTGCAGAATGAGAAGCTGATCACTGACCTGTCTGAAAAGTAAATATTCATGGAAAACATTTTTTCTTTCTTTCTTCATAATAAATGAAATTCTAATTTTCACAATAACTGGTGAAGAGCCTTGAAAAGTGTACATACATGTATATGCTTATTGCACCTATAGCTGCTAATTTGCTTTGATTTACTTGGGTTTTTGATCCATACTTCTTTCAGAAGTGTCTGGCTCATTTCAATTTGTTATGTGGCATAAAGCAGGACAGTGCTGCTGGTGCCAGCAACTAGGGTAAGTTTCAATTGACAGATAAGCCCAGGGTGCTGCTGCAAATTTGGAGGAAGACAAAATAAGAACACCATGAGACAAGTTTGTGAGTGTGCTGACCACGTGGGAGAGAAAAGGTGAGAAAGATCTTTTATCTCTTTCCGTATATTTCCGTATGTTTCTTTTATCTTAAAAAATGAAATTAAATGTTCAGCCAAAATATGTTGCTAAATATGAAGCACAAAAACCAATCAGAAGGAAGGGAAAAAGCAACGCTGCCAGCAGCGAGACACTGATCTCTGCACATAACAGAACTATTCCTAGAAGTATAATTTTTCCTCTCTGACTTCTCATTTTCTTCCTCCCACTCCATGCAAGAGGGCATACGATGAGGAAATTACACATATCACATGGAGCTACAAAGTGAAGAGGTTAGTAAGAACAGCCTTGGTTATGTACTTTCCCATTGACAACAAGCTAAATGTAACCATTTCCCATCTCTGATTCCTCAGAACTTGTTATGCAGACTGTATACATTTAAGAAGAATGCCCATCTTGTCAAGTGTCATTACTAACAAACTCACACATTATTTTGCCTTTAAATATATAAATATTTTTAAAGCAACTCAAACACACTACAATAAAATCTATACTAAAGCAAACATCATACAATTGTATATGTTATGCATTGATGGCTACTTTCTGATATAAGTAAAATTCTGACTTTTTTCACAGCACCCCACAAAAAAGGAAATAGCCAATAGTGTAAAATGAATCTTGCCTCTTCTTTCTTTCTAGGATTAAGGATCGAAGTATTGCAATAGTATGACAGGAAGTTGCAGGATGAAGAACAAAGACTTAGACCAAAACAGGAGCTAAGACGACATGAAAGGCTTCAAACATTCTCTTTTTTTAATTGAAATGGTCTGTAATTAAAGCCAATTTTGATAATGCATTATGGGTTTCACTCACACTTTATTCATTCCTTCTTTTTCACTTAGGCAGAGATAGGACCCTCTTTACCTCTTAGTACTGCCATAAATCCCAGACAAAAACCCAAACCTTTGATTAAAACAAACACATCCAAAACTTGGCAAATGTTGCCCTTGATAGCTTACCTCTAAGGATAATCTTTAGAAATGTTATTGGCAAATAACTCTGGCAACAGAGTATAACATTTAACTCTGGCAAAATTTTCAGAGTCTCCTATTTGTAATCCTAAACCCACTTAAGACCGATTTAGTTATCAGAGGGAAGTAAAGATGTGTCTTGCAGTCTCTGCAGCTTACATCCTTCCTGACCTCCAGCAAGACGTACCCAGACTTGCCCACTGTAATACGGGATGAACGCCACTGGTCTCAGGCCACGGGCTGACTTTTTTTTTCCTGTATCCAGCAGAGTTGACAGAAGTCATCACTGCATTCCTCCTCCTGTTACTTGTCATTTTCATACCAGAGTTTAGCCCCACTGAATGGTGTGGGAAGACAGAACATTGTCTGTAAGTGATCCGTAATTCTCTAGCTACAATAACCTGGTTAGCGTGTGCAGTTTAAGCAGCTGGTCTGAGCTAGCCTCACCAACTCCGCCCAGCCATGCAGCACAGCTGGAATATGGAGATTTCTAGCAAAGATGAAATGACAAAGAATTCGGAATCTTTTTTTTTTTTTTTTTTACAGGCCTGGCCAGATACAGAAAAGAATCCACGTCCATGGCTATATAAAACCAAGATGACAGTTAGCTATTCTAGTCCCACCCCCAGGGAAAAAGGTCCTGTGCATACCTCAGATCTGTTTCAACCTGCCTGGTTTAAAATTAATCTATTTATTTGCATCTGCTATTCCCCAAAAGTGCCTCAGTCTGGGGACCAGAATGCTCTCCCTTCCACACTGTGCTTCTCTAACAACTGATCAGACCCAGCAGTGACATGTGTATTCTGTAGAGATTACACTTTTTGTTAATTGGCCATGTTCAACACAAAAGAAAAATAGCAGGATAAATAGATTAGTCTGGTTCCATACAGGCCATGGTGGCAGATGAAAAGAGCACTGAACAGGGAAAATGAAGGAAACATGAAATAAGCAAATTACACAGACAGAAGATTAGTTCAGGCTTTCTGTTGATCACAAGAATTGGTTTTTATCACTCCAGATAAGACATCCCACACTGTCACCGATTCAAAGCCTATCTGCAGTGATGGCACTTTATGTACCAGTGCATATGGGCATGACTGCAGTTGCAGCCTGCAAGTTAGTTTTAATGTGCTTGATGTTACAAGTATAGAGTAAGCATTTTAATATGGCCAGGTATTAAGTCATACATCTTGAAAGAAACAAGACAGGCAATACTTATAGAAACGGAGCAGCGACTTGAAAAGCAGCAGTTCTAAAAATGATACAAGGATCTTAGTTGAGAAGTCTTCCAACCAGGAGTTCCTAATGGCGAAAAGGAGATATGCCTAACAATGCCTATAGCGTTTCTTTTTGATTTGGTGCTGGTACGACCCATGTGTCCTTTGCTAACATCCACATTTCAAGAGGAATGTAAGCAATCTTGAAAAGGTTCAGATAAAACAGACATGTGAGAACGCTTAAGGATTAGAAAGCACAAAGCTCACAGCATATACAGGCTTTTCAGGAGATGACTGTGAGTTACAACATTTTTTTTTTAGAAAAAAACCCCCTTTTTATTCTATCAGAAAGGTGTACATAAATATGACAGGATCCACTCAATGTAGACAGAAGTTTCCTCATCAGAAAGACTTCAAAATGTTCAATTTAATTAAATGTGTTTACTTTCAGTAAAAGAACTTAATAGATTTAAAGAAATGGGATACTTTTAAATATAGTTATGTGATATTATATTGATCAAAATATATTTGCTCAAAGTATATAAGCATAGAAAACTCACCTTCCAGAAGTTATCTACTTTGCCATAAACAAGGGATTGATTCTGCCTTTTGATGTCATTAATGTGTTTAATGTCGCTGGAATTCAGATGCTGCTCTACCACAAATCCAAGGAAGCTGTTATCTGGAGTGTGAGCTGTAAGAAACGAAGCGTATTCAAAACCTTTTAAAGTATCAGTTAATGTTACAAAAGTGTGAATGTTGTCAAAAAGTAGGCATAAGGAACATATTATCCAATGGATCACTTTCTTCACATTCATACTGACACACACATTTTCTTGCTTTATTATCAAGAATAGTTCTTATCAATTTTAAGTCCTGCTGCACATGTCTACTGAAATAAGCAGTTAGTTTCTGGCTCGTTTCTGACAATAAAAATTCTATAGCTGGACTGAGGCCAATGATCATGATTTTTTGTGCGTTGAGCTTTATTTTATTATTAGAGGTAAGAGAACCGGAAGAAATCCAGCTTGACAATCTCAGAGATGCAATACCAACAATTTGAAAAAACTCTGGATTTATGCTTGTTAACAAAGTTGTACGTTACTCAATGTCATAAATAAATTTTAGTAAATTGCTTGGGTTCACCTCCTATATTGGAAGAGCTAACATCAACCACCCAACTTATTCCATATTATGTATCCATGCTAATTATTAGCCTACAAAGTCACACCATGCAGATCAGAATACAAATTTCACTGCCTAATTCACTCAGATATATCTATCATAAAATATTGAAAGGTGACAACTGAAGTTGGAAAAATTGTTGTTAATCCAGTGCCTAGACAAAAAAAGTGCATGCAAAGGATATGCATTATTTACTCTTAATTTTCCTATATTCTTTTTAGCCTCTGTTGGTCTTTTTCCAGCAGTGACATCCAGCAATACTAGCCACTGTTCTCCTCCGACAAAGACACAGACCTATAGGATCATTAAACTAAATTTTTTTGTTGTTTTGTTGTGGTTTTTTTTCCTTTTTGTAGACAGGGTGTTTAATTCCAGGGATGGACCCCAACATTCGAGTCTTCAGGTAAAAATCCATCCCTACCATATAAAAGTTACCCCAACATGTGAGATTTTTGCACCTCTCTAAAAAGTGTCATAGCCTCACAAGTTTACACAGAAATAGGCTGTGATAAACACTAGGATGTCCTCTATAAACCTCCCTTTTTAAATTCTGGCACACAAGCTGACAACTTCTTACTAAGTACACTTTTCAAAGTTAAAAAACACCATGTGCTGGTTTTGGCTGTTAATTTTCTTCACAGTAGCTCGTACGGGGCTAGCGTTTGGATTTGTGCTGACAACAGTGCTGATGATGTTTTCATTACTGCTGAGCAGCGCTTACACAGAGTCCAGGCTTTTTTCTGCTTCTCATCTCCCCCCCGCAACGAGGAGGCTGGGGGTGCATAAGAAGCTGGGAGGGGACACAGCTGGGACAGCTGACCCCAACTGACCCCAGGGACATTTCATACCATACGATGTCATGCTCAGCATATAAAGCTGGGGGGACAAGAAGGAAAGGGTGGATGTTCGTAGTGATGGTGTTTGTCTTCCCAAGTCACCGTCACGTGTGATGGAGCCCTGCTGTCCTGGAGACGGCTGAACACCTGCCTGCCCATGGGCAGCAGTGAATGAATTCCTTGCTTTGCTCTGCCTGTGTGCGCAGCTTTTGCTTTACCTATTAAACTGTCTTTATCACAACCCATGAACTTTGTCACTTCTACTCTTACGATTCTCTCCCTCATCCCACCATGCGGGGAGTGGTGGTGCTAAGTTGCCAGCTGCTGTTAAACCACAACTACCCAAAACAAAATAAAACAAACAAAAAAAAAAAAACCCCAAGACAATGCCCCAGGCACTTATGACACATGCAGTGCTAAAGCTATGGCCAGAGTCCTTAAAAAAAAAAAAATAATTCTATTGCAGTTATGAGGTTTTACTTTTTGATTCCTGAAAATCAGCCAACTGGGTAATGTGGATAATGCAGTAGAACAGAGAAACTATACACTTCCCTCTGCCATTACATTTAGTCTTTCAAATGACAATTACTCTTTTTCACAAAAACCGCCCCAGCAACAGCTAAGCACTCACTTAGACCCAAGGACTTTTCAGAATTTAGCATAGCAAATGGCATGTTGCAAATATGCCTGAAAAGGGGCATTTTTCCATCCTTTCATATTTTTGGATGAGAGATTGCATTCAAAGGAGAGGCAAGGCAGTACACACTCAAAAGAAAAATAAACCTTTGTTGAAGTTAGCACTTAGAACTGGTAGAATTCAGTGCCTCAAACATCACTAACAGGAAGCACTCAAATTTTTAAGCAAGATCATGCAGTTTTAAAAGTACCAGTGCTGTTATTTTGCATAAAAGAACTTAAATAAAAAACATAAAAAGGGGAAAAAAACCTCATGCTTCTGGAAAGCTCAGAGAACAGTCAAGTATTTGGTAATATGCCACAGGTTTGAATATGGCTTGCTTGTTGCTCAGTAATACTTTTCTGCCCTTATAATCAGAGTTCTCAAAACATAACAGAGTCTGGGGACCTTGGGAAGCTGTCCAGGGTTTCAATCTGTCATAAAATCTTTACTGATACATAACATGCACTTTTAATCACAACCCCCTAAAGACAGTGGTATCTCTTCAGCAGAGAACTAAAAACAAAAATAAACTTTAAATATCGCAGAACACTGACTCTTCTGCACCTAGTATAAAAAGAAGCAAAATTCTTGAATGATCTGTAGCACTGGGATCACTGGTGCTTCAGAATGAGTTTGCTTGCAATCTCTTTACCACTCTTCCCGCAAAGGAAAACCAGCAGTCATTTCCAGTAGTAAAAATTGGAAGTGGTTATTTATTGAAATTCCAATATACTCATGCTCTTCCGAAAATCCATTATGAAGTGATTTGCTCAGAACAAGAGACTGTAACAGCAGTCTGTACTGCCACAACAGGGATCATCTCTACAGAGAAGATTTACTTTCTTCTGCAGTTCATGGAGTGGGGTTGAGGAGTGCACGCACAAAGCTGTACCACAAATATTCACGCAACTACTTTCCTCAAGTGCATCATCGTGCTTGGTGCTATCTTGAACAAGACCTCACAGACAAATTTCCCAAAAGCTGGACTACTTAAATACAGCATGACTGAGCTTCCTGCTCCTTTTCCATTAAGGACATAAACCAATAAATATTAGCAAATCATGTGGATACGGAACAAGCTCTGCTTACTAATATCCAGACGCAAACTCTGCAACCACTTCCAAGTCACACTTCCCCACCACACGTTTTGTTACTTGCTTCGAAACAACTGCGAATGCAGTCTTTTATCTTCTAAACGACCCCCACTTATATTTCTCTGGAAAAACGTGCACAGCAAATGTTGACAGACAAAATATGCCTCTCTCAAGAATTTTACAGGGCAAGTGAAATCAAAAGCATGTCAACCAGACAGCAGCATGTATAGTTCTGCTATGAAAAGCAGAGAAGTTTGAAAGACTTGACTATGAAGTCTGATGAGAGAGAACAGCACACGCCTTGGCCTTAGTCTCAGACAAGGACCACCACCAAACTTTGGAGATCAGGCTGGTTACTGTTGGGATCACCCTGCATGGCTCGACCTTAAGGAGAAGGAGCTGTAGCGTTGATCTGCATAGCTCGACCTTAAGGAGAAGGAGCTGTGGCACTGAGAAGCTGGTAAACAGCTGGATATCTGCACGGCTCAGCCTTGAGGAGAAGGAGCTGTGGAAAACAACTAAGAAGAAGCGAGGAAAACAGGAACACCTGCAAGCAGCAATCCTGACTGTGTGAGGGGCGCGTGGACAGCGCGTGATACTTTGTATATAGCCAATTGCAATAGTGTGTGTAACAGGTTGTAACCAATCATGAGTGTGTGCGCAGTGACTAAGCGAAAATTATGACATATATTGGAGTCAGACAAGACAATAAACGGCTTCGGAATATAACTCTCATAGAGTTGTGAAGTCCATCCTTCTCCCGCAGGTTACCAGCCAAATGTTTCTTTACGAACTTGGGCTGAGAAGCTGCTGCACACAATGACATGCACTTTCCTCTTTCCTAAGCCTCACTTACCCTCAAGCTAGCTGGTAGTAGTGAATCTTCCTGCACCTTTCAGAGATAACAGACTTGAACCACTACTACAACATGAAAAAGAGAAAGACCCTTTGATTTTAGAACCTAGTGCCATAAACTCAAAGACTAGTGCTGGAGCAGGTCACTGTAATCATTTAATCTGACCCAATTTATAAAGAACTTTTTTTTTTCTGTTTTCCTTATTTTTGGGGTTTTTTTTGTTTGGTTTTTTGGGGCTTTTTTGGGGGTTTTTGGGTCAAAGACTAGTGCTGGAGCAGGTCACTGTAATCATTTAATCTGACCCAATTTATAAAGAACTTTTTTTTTCTGTTTTCCTTATTTTTAGGGGTTTTTTTGTTTGTTTTTTGGGGGCTTTTGGGGGGCTTTTTTGGTTTTTTTTTTTTTGTTTTTTTAAGATATTTAACAATGCTTCAAAGATCTATAACAATGCTGAAATCTACTACTTGTTTTTCAATAGCTTTGTACACTGCTGGCAAAAAAATGTGAATCAGCCCACCTCAGGATGAACGCTCACAACATGAAAACAAGATAGGTGAAAATTTTGAGAAATCCACAAAAAAACTAGAGAAAAAAATTATTTTTGCTGAGTGCTAGTTTATTAAGCTTGAACGTGAAGAAATAGTGAACGAATTGTGCTGCTCATTTGTTGAGGGGGAAAAAGCAGAAATACAGCAACATAGTTACAAACTTCAGTTTAACATGATGAAATGCAAGAGCGCAGTTTATAAAAACGCAATCTAGCAAGTTCCTTAAAAACATAGCATGGATTTGAGAAGGCAAAACTAACAAAAACAAACTCACTGACGCTTGAAGGAAAAGCCAGTCACCACTTTCCACAGGTACCCTGAGAATACAGTTCCCTACCGTTATTTATATTAAGTTAACATTGTTATTTTCTGATTGCTGGATGGAAGCACAATAAAGCTTTTGCATAGTTTACAGATACTTATTGACACAATTCTGACCATTTCGCAGCTGCATTTTATTAAACCGTTAACTTGTCTTTCATAATACAAAAATTCTTCTCAATGACAGCACTCCTTTTTAACGCTCCAAATTATTTATAAACACAGGGATACTCACGGAACATCGTATAAAACTGCTGTGGATTAAGGTTCCACTTGCCCCATGGTGTCTTGTGGCCTTTAGACTGGGCATAATGGGCATGGTTAAACTCTGGTTCAGTTCCGAAGGAATCCAGAACTCTTAGCATACACCTAAAAGAAAAAAAATAATTTACTGTAGGTACACATGCATGTGTGTATATATACCATGTGTGTATATATATCGTTAAGATAATTAAGAAGATGTGTTTCGTTTTTGTTTGCAACTGTGGATGACTGAAGGTACATTTTAACATCAAACATTTCTGTTCATATTACATTCACAAAGACATTAACGATCAGCAAATTCAAGAATATATCAGACATTCAAATAGCAACCTTGGAGCTTATTTTGAGTTTCTTTGTTCTTACAGAATGAAGTTCTGCTTTAACACCCAAGTACAGCTTATGGGAATGTTACTGTGGTCACCTACATTCCTGGGACTCTGAAGTAGAATTTAGGCAGAAGAAAAGAGGATTCTTCATCTATTTTCTAATGTTCTCACCCATTACTACAAAATCCATGCAACAGACAAGGGCCACATGCCAAGAAGATCAGAGCAGAATAGTACTTTGTCCTTAGACAATTGTATTTAGTCTCCAAGTTCTGACTTTTGGGTCAATTAGATATTCTGGAGAAGCACTGAAGACAGTTTAATTTGCTTGCAGTCAGACAGACCATTTATTTGTTTATGAAACATTTTGTTACAGACTTTTGAAGAAACAATATAAAAGTCAAATGTCTACACCTGAGAGAAACCTTGGCATTGGATTACAAAGGGTCTGGGACGAAGGAATCACACTCACTCCTTTATTTAAACTCTTATAATTCCTTGGGAAAAAAATTACTTCATTTATGAGTGGCTCCTTTCAAAAAAGGGCCCATAGTACATAAAAGGCAGAAAAAATCTCAGTATGAAGAAGACGGCACACATTCTAGCATACAGATTCTAGAATTTATGTTTCCAAAATGCAGCCTGCCAAATCTTTGATATGGCTTGGACAGGAACTTTGTGGCCATCATACTGACCACTGGCTCCACTGCAAATGAACTGGATTATATTGGCTCCAAAGCTGCTGACCCTACTGTTCTTCAGCCTTCCACAAACAAAATTTTTGGAAAAGACTTATATAGGATGTGTTCCTACATCAAATGCCACTGTGTTATAAAGACATGAACTCTTATCACTGCACGTTGTATCAACATGCTAAGGAAAAGACACAACCATACAGGTGGCAGAGAAGGGAGGCAGCTGTAAAAATTACTAATAAAAATGCCTAAATTTCCCGGTCTTCAACTTTTCCCATGCTCCAAGCCCATATACATTCTGTTCAGTAAAACATCAGGATTTTGGCTTTAAAATGTGAAATAATTTAGCCCCCAAAAGGTGAAAGAATTTAGCTCCAACCACTTTTCAGCTTTAAATATGCAAAAAGATGAAAGAATTTAGTCCCCAAAATACATTTACATATTTCTTATATGTTGTTCCTTTCGCTAAAGTATCCATTAAATTGGGAAACAGAATAAAACCCAGCAACTTTTAAACTCTCATACGAAATACCACCTTTGTATTTGAAAGTACAAATAGAGCAAATTTACTTTTTTTAATCCTCACAGAGATCTTTCAAGCAAAAAGAAAGTCAAAATATACAACATATTATGATTCACCAAACAACAAAGCTGACAGATCAGTTCCTGTGCGGTGTTTTATGTCAACTGTTCTCAGTGAAAATATTTTACAACAATGGCAATTATCTCTGCATCATACAAAGTACTCCAGCAGGACCAAAACAACTTCTGCACCGATGAATCATTCAGTAATAAAAGACCTCTCTTATTTCTTGGCAGGCCTTAAAACAAAATTCTTATCAAATACACAGCTTTGGCCAGGTACTTGAGTACAGGGGAATGAAAAATGGGTGGAGGCGACTGAAAAACTGCAAGATTACTGGATTTTGTCAAATTGCATATGTAAGAAGCACTACATCGCATGTGATGATCTAGAAGTGCTTTGTTTCCTCTCTTTTCCCTGTATTGAGAGGTAAGGTATGTAGCACTAATTGTTCATAAGGGTATGTGTAACTATGTCCAGTCCACACAGGGTCTCTGAAGCAGGACAGGAAATGTGATGCAACAGAAACTATGCTAAACCAAGAAGCAGAGAAAATATACTCACAGGATTCAGGCATAAAGAAAGTCAGAACAACAAGAAAAAAAGATTACAGTGGGAAGTACAAGTATGTGCAGAAATGGTATGAAAGATCAAAGGTTCACGTGGTAAACCTAATCCCTGAAATGCAGCAGAAAAGAACTTGTAATGTAAAGATTTAAAATTCAGAAATTAATGTAAATAATGCCAGTTATGCTGAACTGATATTTTAACATATGTAGGAATGCCTGAAATATCTGATCAAGTACTATGTTCTCCCTTTTTTTCACTTAGCGGTTTAAATGTCTTTCAACTGAACTATTTTTAACCAAAATTTTGATTTTACATATGTTTTAGCATTTCTAAAGTAAAATAATTAATTTTGAAAAAGGCAAACCGGTATTTTTTTTTTAAAGCAGGGATATATTTTAAATAAAAATGCCAATATAGTCTGATTCTAAATTTAGTTTTTCACTCTGTTGCCCTCTCCTTCCCAAAGTGTCACCTAGCTTTAGCAGGAAGTTGCAGAGAATTACAGCATGCCTTGGAATTGGTGTCAGACTGATTAGTCTATTCAACGACTAATTAAAAAGTATTGGTGGGCAGCAAACTGCTTACAGAAGGTATTAGAAGTGACAATTTTTGGGCTTATAAAAAAAATTTAGACAAAAGTAACCCAGAATTATGACCATTTTTGAAGTGACTGCTCTTACTTGAATGTTGGGCTTAAGAACAATCTTAACTGGGTTGTCCTAGTGGAAGTATTTCCACACATTTATTCATATCCTTCTCCCACCTGAGGTTATAATTTTACTCTACTTACATATACTTCATCTTTGTCTACACCAGCAATACAACCCAGCAGCACCCACCGCTGTCAGCAACCAAGTGCCATGCTGGCATAAACTGTTAATATGCCAGTGGCTGCAGACATCTTCCTGGGAGTAAGCCGGTTAAAACCTAACCGGTTCTGGTTTGGAAGCTTTGTAGGTGCATTGCGCTGAGGCACAGCGACGTGCCAGCACAGATACGCAGACTCCAGATTGCTTTGGCTTATGTCCAGCCAGTGCAGATGGTGAGCAGCTCATACCTGCCTATAGAAATCCTTGCAGACACACACATTGACTTTCAGGTCACTCAGTACTTGCATTTAAAATGTAAAAACTCAGTCAGAAAATAACCCTCCTAAAACAGATGTATTCTAGAGAACGTGTAAGAAGTAGGAATGTTGCTCATTTTTCAGGATAGCTGTCATGTTAATTTATTTCAAGAATGAAGACAGTTGGGGTTTTGGCATATGGGAATGAGTCATTGCTAAAGAGACTGTAGAAAAATGAAAAAAAAATAACAGATTCTTATGTGCTGTATGGAGGATGCAGGTGCTAAGAAAGGCGATGAGCTGCACTCCTCAAACTATATTAAGCTACTCATTTTTATGTTGCTTCATTGCACATAAACTGCATTCAAATATCCAGACTTCAGAACTAAAAAATACAGTATGTCCAGGCATTCTTCTGCTTGAAAATAAGGTGCACTGAAGAACAAGATCTGTTTTGCTATAGTCATGCTATTTACAGCACCATTTCTACCACAGATAAAGCATGTACTACTAAGAGTCCTTGCTGCTACAGAACTCAGACGTACAAAACAGCATATGTGTTGTTGGGAAATACTGACCCCTCAGAACAGCAGGGTCATTCTTCTGAGCTAGCAGTTCTAGAATCCTGATTTGCAATTACCAAAAATTTCTTCGGGGCTCAAGTTGACTCACAAAGATTATGAACAGCACTCTTATCAAGAGACTGTTCTGAAGGCATAGGTGTATTCCACCTCTCTGTTCCAATCTGAAGTGAATAAACGAGTTTTGCTTTATTTGTATTTGAGCCTGGTCTGCGTAAACCAGACTGAGCTGACTAGCACCTCTGCTGAAAAACTATGTGGCATAAAGTAAAACACTTCTTTCAAGACAATAAATTATTCCCACTGACATTAAATACAACTAAGAAAGGGAAGTTTGTAAAGAACAAGGGCTATAAGGCAGTGTTATTGGTGATAATGTTTATTTTACTGGAATGAATTAAAGGCATATAATTATGCTTTCACACTGGACTTATTAGTTTTAACTATTTTGATGAAAAGAATTATGAGGCAATTCATGATGCTGAGAGAAAAATAATGATTGTAAGAGGATCCTCAAATAGGAGATAGCTTGCATGAAGCTATGAATTAATGCTCCTGCTCTAATCAATTTTGGCAGTCTCTGCTAGACTCTGGACCTGAGGAACAGTATCAAGTAATTAGAGAGATTCCCCAGCAAATGCCACAAGTTTGATGAAATGTCTACAAAACTTGAATTATAAGGAATGATCCAAAACTATTAATTTATTTTTAAGAAACACAAATTGAAGGAAAATCAGTATATAAGATGTTCTAGAGGCTGGCAGAGAGGGGAAGGAAGTAATTTAATCCCCAGAACCATATTAGAATAAGCAGTAATGGGCAGCTTGCAAGAAATCAGGCCCAGAAAAACACTTTAAATAAAAGCTTAACGATATATTAAAAAAAAAAAAAAAAGCTGAGGCATCTTTCGGAGTCTTCAGTAAAAGATGAAGCAAAAATCTACCAGGAAGGACAAAGACATCCGATCTACTTTTCAGCAAGGGTAATGGACTACATGAGCTCCCCTTTTCATCCCATGGAATCCATTGTTGTAGAAGAGAGGCATTAAGTGATTTTTTTCTTCTTCAAAAGCCTAACAAAAACGCCTATACTACACTAAGGTATTTATGTAGAGTTAAATTTCATTCTACTCTCCTAAATCAGAAAAAGTCAGTCATTACCATAAATTAGGAATCAATGAAAAACAGATTGACAACTTAAGATTTAACTATTCATGAAATAAGCAAGGAAAATTGAAGAGCTAATCTAATAATCTCAATGTCATGGTGTGTTTCCATTATCTTCGTTACCAAATATATCAAATAGGAAACTGAAAGCAAAAAATATTTTAAACTTATATGTATGGTTATATATCCTGACCACAATACTGTATGTGATCACCTAGTGACAATTACATCTCACAGACAAGCAACCAACTGTATCTCAGTGGAAAATGGGATTATCTTTATTAGCAGGCTCCTAAAAACCAGAATATCCGTTTATTCCTCTGCTTCAAAAAAGAGATTAAGACTAATCTAATCTGCAACATTGATCACAGTACTCTCATTTAAAATTACACTGAAAAGGTCCAATGCTCTAGAAAATCCTGAGGTAGAGAGAAAACAATTTTTCTGTCTGCAGTGAGCACCTTTCAATACCTTCCTTCAAGTAGGATTTACTGAACTTTACGGATCATGAAACACAGCTAATTCGATTAGGTACAGAAAAATCAAAGTCAGTAGTTTAGATTAGGTTTTATTTCATGCTGATACGCGTTCGTACAACACATGGGAGGCTTGCTGATTTAAAGTTATTGACAAGAAGAAATGTGGTTCTAAAACTGCAGACAGTAAGAAGGCTGTACAAAGTAATTTCTTGTGACTGACATCTTCCATTTCTTATAGAAGAATGTTTATAGATTACAGAAGTAACAACTGCAGTTACCAGCAAGTTTATTCTTTAGACCTACCCTGAAGAAAACTCTCTGCCCAGCATCTTAAGGGATGGAACAGAAAAAAATTGCGCTACGGTTGTTGGGCAATACAATTAGATAAATCTCCATAATTATCAATCCAGTATGGCTACAAAACCTGACAAACAAAACATGCCTTTGGTATTCCAACTAAACAAAATCCAATAATCTCTCAGCTCATCTAATAATTTACAGAACAA